CTTTTGTGAGTCAACTTGGGGGCCAATAAAATATGTATATTTTTCCATCTGGCTTTAGTTTTATTCTCTTTTCTGAGATTTTTTTAAATTATTATTTTCTCATAGTTGTGAGTGGCATCAGAGAGTCTGGTAGCCAAGATGTTGCATATGATCTACTAACTATAATCTACTTTTTTCGAGGGAATGATGGTAAGAATGGTAATCTTAGGTCTATCCCCTTTTCCTGATTCTGCCAATGTTCTGTGCCTCTGCTTCCCTCTGTAAAGATAATATTTATTTTCCTCTTTTACACTAAGGGAATACAACTATTTGATCAACAAAATAGTTAAAAAAGAGTTGAGTTGTTACTCAAAACACTGAATCATTATTTGCAAAGAGTCAGTTTATGGCCTCTGAGTTGTGGTCATATGTCCTATCATCTGCAGCTGGACCTGCATAAAAGCTGAATGCCCCAGCGGTTCACTGCTAGTGACATAATTGCTCTTTAGCCCTTTCCTCTCAGAATAATCAGAGTTAACTTGCACATGTTTAACAGGAGGATTTTTCTAACCTGGCTTGTTTAGAGAGAACCTGGCTAGGGAGCAGTTACACATGCAGTTACACTAGCAAATGGGTGGGGTAAAGTATTCTCCAGTGGTGGAGCAGAGGAGAACAGCTGGCAAAGCTACCTCTTCACTCAGCTCAGCTGGAACCAAACCAAGGCTGGAGACTTACAGTTGAGATGTTCTTTACAGTAAAAGTAACCACCCAAATCAACAGAGCCACTAATCACATCTCTCTGAGTAACAGGTGCAGAATCTGACCCAACACAGCTACTGTTGTTGACAGAATAATTTCTTGTCATATAAAGACAGTTGTGTTGGCTGTTTCCAAAGAGAAAACCTACAGACTCACTAATACCTCGATGTCAAATACAAGAACTTACTTACTTGAGATAGGTATGAAACAGGCCTAGAAACTGAAGCACTCTTGATGCCCATGGAGTGGACACAGTCCATAAAATTTCCCTATGCAGTAAGGTTATTTTGAGGATCACTTCTGAAGATGAGAGAACAACTCCTCCTCTAAAACATTAATCCCGTGAGCAACCTGATGAGACTGCTGACCAAACTGTCGCTCACTGACATTTTAGAGATAGGTATCTATTCACCAGAAGCTAGCTTTATTGCACAGAGGCCAGAGAAAGCTTGCCAGGTCTTAATGCCTTTCAGCCATTACTGGCAATGTTGTGACTGTGCCCAAATGTGAAAGGTGGTGTATCGCATTACCTCCGCTGGCTTCACAGTTCCTTTGCTTCCTGTGTTCCATTAATGTATTCCCTGAATGAAGCAATAAATACTGCATTTTTCTCTGCCCACTGCTTTTTAATTTGCCATTTAGAAACATTATTAGTCAAAATGAGGGTATTACAAATAATCCCACCCACCTTGCAGCACTAATACACAACTAGAGAGAGGCACTGGTTTTCTCCTGTTTCTTGAGTGGAGCAAAGAGTGAGGTGTTTCTCAAAAGTTAGTGAGAAAAAAGGTTTTTTTGGTGGGGAAAAGGGTTTAATTATGGAACAGAATTGAACAGAAAATAAAATATCTGGCAATAGTAAAATAATTTATTTTGAGTGGATATATATACCTTATCATATCTTTTTCTTTTTGTCAAAACCCCTTCCATTTAGGGAAAATGATAAAGCAGTTTAATGCTTCCCTTATGCTTCAGGGTAAGTTCAGCACAGGTTGATGTCTCAGACCTTTCCAAGGCTTGAAATTCCAATTTTGTACCAGCTTTACAAATCTTTTGCACTGCAGTTAATTGGTGAACACTGGAATTGAACCAGGCTTAAGTATCTGCCACATCCATTCCCTTTCCCTATTCCGATACTTAGTCCTTGCAGAAGAGATTTAGAGTAGAGAGTCTGTTAGTTTCAGATAATTTCTACGTTTCTGAGCAAGTGTTCCCAAAGCTACTAACCTTCCCTCTTCCCCCTCCCTCTGACTCCAAACAGTGGTAATTTCATCAAGGTACAAGTTTAAAATATTATTTTTATTAGATTAGAGACTAACAAGCTATTTTACTGGTTTACACTTCTCTAACTACAGCATTATAGCAAATGTAAACCCTTTCCTAGGGATATATATTTGTGTATTTGATGTACAATGAGTATGTATGACTGTATAGTAAATTTACCAGCATTGACTGGGCTACGTTAAAACTTAGACAGGTTTGCACAGACAAGTTAAAAACAACTACAGACTGAGAGTCAGATGTTCCTGAATTCACTGCATGACAGCCTACCAACAATCCTGTAGCTCTGTGATATTCTGGAGGATTTCTTTTGGTACTTGATACTTTTGGTTCTTCTATAGGAGGCTCATGCCATTTCATCAGAAGATTTTTGTGTGGAAAAGCTGAATTTGAAAGCCTCAAACAGTTCTGTGAAGAGTTCCAATTACACCATGACTTCATGGAACAGCACCTTTTGCTCAAAGGAGACATTACCAGTAGTTCTCATCTGTATGCACTTTTACTGTGCTAGTGTTACTACACATTTCCTTTCAGGTTTCCCTGCATGCCCCTTTTCTCCTTTATATCAGGTAACTGCAATAGACTTACTTTTTTATTATCATAGTTTTGATTAATTTTCCTAAGATTTATCTTCATATACATTTTACTAAGCAGTTTCCCATTCTACCATACACTGAGCTTCCTAGCTTTAATGGAAACGAAATGCATTTTTTTCCCAGAGAGGTTGTGGAGTGTCCATTCTTGGAGCTATTCAGAAGCCATCTCAACATGGTCTTGGGCAACCAGCTTTAGATGGCGTGCAGTTGTGGGGCAAGATGACCTCCCTTCCAACCCTGAAATTAAAGAACTAAACTAACAGGCAGACTTGACTACACATACTGTAGGTCTTCATTCACCCACTAATACAATCCACAACTGAATGCTAATCAAGTCAATATGAGGCAAGACTGTAACAGTTGCCCCTAACTTTCATTGATAACTGTTCTCCTTTAACTGACATAATATTTAATATAGAGTTGTTGAATGTAGTAATGGTAAAACTCATGCCTTGAGGGCTAAAGTGTGACTGAGTTTTAGCCAGATAAAGTGAACTCTGACCTAATGGTGTATTACAGGCCCTTACACCAGTCAGATGCATAGGTCACAATCTCACTCTATATAAACCTCTATGTAATTATACTGCAAGCTATTCTTGAATATATTAAGATCATGTCAGATAATTAAAACAAAATCAATACAAGCCTTATTCTGACCTTTAAGGCAAGAAAACTACTGATTTTAGTCAGTTTCCTTGTCTGTAAGACATTACATTCTCCACTTGTAATATATAATGCCTATTAATCTCATTTAGTAAACAGCAATTTTCTAACGTTATCTCTTAGAAACGATGCTTTTTTTTTTTTTTTTACATGTATTTCTTTGCAAATCACATTTCTTCAGCTCTCTTGATCAGTAGCATTCAGAATCCAGGAATCTAAAATATGATGCAATATGCACATAATGCCATTATAGTACATATCTCTGTAGGTATCTATGATATGTCTATCTAAATTATATATCATACTCAATATCTATAGATACATACCCATACATATATATCACACAAAAATCTATAGATATCTAGTCTATAAATATCATGGATATATACTTACACATAAGTTTTAGACTTGTAATGGAAAAAATGGATTCTATTGTATTTGACATGTGTAACATTCAGCTTTTACAAAATAGGTGCCTGAGAGAATCCTAAAACAATTTAAGAGCTCAATTCTATATATATATCCTAATAAGAATAACAGGATCTCAATATTAAAGTAATAACCTTTTTATTACTCTTTCTCTAGGACTGTTCCACAATTCAGAACAATTTTCTGCAAAAATCTGTGTATAGAGCATTTAAGAAAATATTTAAGAACAGAATATGAAGGTTTCCATAGAATTATGTAAGGCTGATTTACTTCTCTCACACAAAGGACAGAAAATTCAAAACAAATTTAAAAACACAGTCAGAATTCTTCAGAGCAGGAAAAAAAGAGTCCCATATTTTCTTTATAGTGCCAAGTATGCTATCACTGATAACATGAAAGTAAAGAAAGCACTAAGAAAGTAAAGAAATAAATCATAAACTAGAATTTTCAAAGTTTTTCAGGGATGTCCACTTCAATAACTGGATGACTTCTAGATGATGAAGAGCTCCCACAAAGTCAGTAGCAATTAAGAGAATTCTGAAGCATGTAGCATTAGATTCTCAATCAGAAATAGTCTTATAAAATAATTCACTTTGAAATCCAAAAGATAATTAAATTCTTCAGATAAGCAACCATACATACTCATAAAGTAAGTCCGTCCATTTTTTTGTTCACCTATTTTATGTTTTGTTTACTTATCTCATAATAACCAATCTGCATGTAACACTTTATTTAAAGCTACCTTTTAAAAATGGCCTCATAAACAGGATTTTCCAGTTTATACATTACACTTTAAGGATACTTCCCAACACAAGGATGATCCTCCATTTCATCTACCCCTTATTAGATATCTTGCCAAAGAAGGAAAGAGAAGATGTAGGAGCTGCTGACTTGGATCTTAGTTTCTTAAATCAAGCAGTAGCCCTTGAAAATTTGCCAGGTGGCTCTGATGACCAAATCAGGCTTGCAGCTAGCTAACCTCAGTATTTGCAGTATTTAAGGTATTTCCTACAATAAGCATAAGCAAGTACAAATAAATACTATGATACGAAGGACTCTGCATTTTTTTTAGCTTAGGAAAAATTGAATATTTTATTTTATCGACACCATAATTAGTCTTCAACATGTCACACTAAATTTACTTCACATCCTTCTACCTCTTTGGGTGCACGGTCACTATGTCTGCACAAAAAAACCCCAAAACAACAAAAAAACAGAAAAAAAAAAAAAGAAAAAAAAGAAAAAAAAAATCAATTAACTGGGTTTGGAAACATGCGTTGCTTTATTTCCTACCTGAAGGATGTATCCTCGAACATAGTCTCGAAGTGTCCAGCCTAAGCCATGTAGAATATGCAACACCTCCTCTTGCTTCAGTACACTGAAGAGTCGGTCAAGTAGTATCTTCAGTCTCACAGGCACAGCCTGAGTACCGTAGAGCATCAGGCTGCTGATGTCAAACACAACGTTGGACTGCACAATCTCCACTTGGGTTGGGTGGTAGAGGTGCTGAGTACTAAGCTTGTCCAAGGCTGAAAGAAAAGGTGTTAAGTGTAAGAGAAGAGCTAAAAGAAGACAAGAAATTAATCCCAAAGAATTATCTAAACACATCGAATTTGGCAGATTATCATGGTTTGAGCTAGGAGGACAATTAAATACCATGAAGCTGCTCACTCCCTCCTTTCCCCCCAGCACTGGGAAGGAGGAAATAGAAAAGGCCCAGGAAACTGAGATAAAGACAGGGAGGGATGATCATTAAGGCATTAAGACACAGGCAAAAAACAGACTCGTTAGGGGAAAGAAAAAAAATCCCATAAATTTAATACAGACAGTAGCAAACAACACAATTTAACAGACAGAATGTGAGAATCATTACCATATCTTGAACATATCTTCCCCCATTCCTCCCTTCTTCCCTGGCTCAGCTTTGCTACCGGTATCTCTCTACCTCCTCCTCCCCAGAGGTGCAGGGGGCAGGGAATGGGGGGTGCAGTCAGTCCTGCTGCTTCTTCCACCTCAGAGAGGTGGGGGGAACTGGCATTCCTTCCCTGTTCCAGCACGGTCCCCCTCTCACAGGAGACAGTTCTTCACAAACCAGTTCCCACGGGCATGTGGGTCACCCCTGTGTGTTGCAATTCTCCCAGCCCTGAATTACAACAGTGGGGGCTTCTTCCCATGGGATCCCTGTCCTCTTTGGGTGCAGCCACCTGGATCAGTCGTGGGGCCCCCCATGGGCTGTAAATCAGCATCTGCTCCACTGGTGACCCCCATGCAATTAGCAGGGATATCTTCAACTAGATCAGGTTGCTCAAAGCCCCATCCAATTGGATGTGGAACATCCACCTTGAATGTTTCTGGAGCTGGAGCATCTACCACCTCTCAGTGTTTCATCACCCTCATTGTAAAAAATTTCTTCCTTCTATGTAGTCTGAATCTACCCTCTTTCAGTTTAAAAGCATTGCCCCTTGTGTTATCACTACAGGCCCTGCTAAAATGTCTGTCCCCATCTTTCTCCTCTCAAGTATTGAAAGGCAGCAATAACATGTTCCCAGAGCCTTCTCTTCTTCAGGCTGAACCACCCCAACTCTCAGCTTTTCTTCACAGGGAGAGGTGTTCCATCCCACTGATAATTTTTGTGGCCCTCCTTTGGACCGACTCCAACAGGTGCATGTTAAAAATTAGTACCCCGATTTACCATAAATTCTGTCATGAATTCACTGATACTTGAGCTGGCTAGTTTGTTTTACCCTTCTGCGTGAATTTCATATTATTCACTGTGATGTGAATAATTTAGAGATAAGAGGAGGGGAGGTTTGCAGGATGAAGGTAATTCTTATCCCCTTTTGAAGTTAAATATGATGGAATTACATATGACATCACACATTTACTGAGTATCAATGTTTAAGTTTAATATTCTTTCCATTTTAAGGACTATGTTGCAGCATCTAAGCTTCTCACTGCTTTTTTAAAACAAAATTTTCTGAGAATGTAAAATAATTTTATAGGGACTTCTTCTCCTGTACTTTGGTTTCTTCTTGGTTTATGGTCACTGGAGAGTTCATGTACTCTTGATAAATTGCTTTCTTACATCCAGAGCGCAAGGGCCCTTATCATTTACTCACTGGCTTCATTCAACACATTTACTCCAAGGAATACTTTGTCAAAGAGTTCTGGTTTCCTCATACTTCATTTCTTGCAACTGATTTGTCTGATCTTTCCTATTCTAGTGGTTAAGTCAACTTTGAATAAATAGCTTTAAATATTAATTTAACATTCAAAAAAGATAAGGAATTGGCAAGCCTAGGGACTGCAGTCCTGTGTCTCTCTGCAGGACATTTATACTGCAAAATGTGAAAAGTGGGATTTTTTCTTCCAAAAGCTCTTCTTCCAAAGTACTTCAGCTATATAGGCTTCATGATATGGGACTGATTTATTTACAAAGTCTAATGCATGGGTTTTGATTGAAGCTTAAACAGGTCAAATACTTTCCTACATTTTTTCCCCCCTTTCATGTATGATATTTTTGTAACATGGTTATTTTGCTAATACTGTAACAGATGCGTCATCAAAGTAACCAGCTAGAAAAGCCTAGAAAATTGATGTTGTTACTGTGCAGGCTGTGCTGTATGTGTGCTGTTATGTATACATGTGTACCTGGGGGACAGAAAAACCATTTGGAAAGTGTAATATAAAGTAAATTGTTAGTGATTTTTAAAAAACCCTATTACTCTCAATAAGAATGTTGTAACTAATAGTAGTATTAATAGATGTAACACATTCTACCAAACTATGAAAATAATCTGGATCTGGATCACCTTGAACTTTCCACCTTCAGTCTTACATAATGAGTATAGGGTCCAAAGAGGTTAACTGGCTTCTCCAAGTTTACACAAATTCAGGCCAGAGTCAAGACCTGAATGAATATTTTATGAATATTCAATACTTTTTAATCACTACACCATACTGTATTTCTAATATATCTTTTTATTTATTTTTGCTTCTCTTTAGTTAACAGTAAACCCTATGCCTGCAGTGAGGGAAAGCAAGTTCTTCCAGCTAAAGAGACTTGGCTTGTTGAAGATTTTAAAATCATGATTCTACTTTGGCCCAAGTGAGAATAACTGTAAAATGTCTTTATCTAAAGAGTATTGGGTGGATTATAAAACTAATAGCTAGAATAAGATTACAAAACTCTGTGGACATTTATCCACTTCACATCATGTGACCACTCTGAGGATGATAACTTTGGAAAGGCCAAGATGGAATATAAGTGAAAGAAAAGAAATAAAAAAGGTCCATTTAAATTATAAAGCACAATGTCTGACCAGCAGACAGAAGTTTTCACAAGATATCCAGTACCTTTCCATCTATCTGCAACATTTGTTTTCAAGCAATATTATCTATAGACATCTGCTTCTCAAAACACACATACACACAAATAAGAGTTAGTCCAGTGTTGGATTAACATCCCAAGTGGCAGAGAAATTATCTCCAATTTTGATTTGTGACCATATTCTGCACATTGTGTAATAAACAAATAAGCAGTGAATTTCATCCTTTTGAAGTACAAGTCAGGATATGCACTGAAATGTGTAATTTACAACACAACAAAGCATATATTTTTGCATGGGTGTGTAAGAACATTTGCAAATGACAGACCTAATGTTTCAGACCAAAAAAAAAAAAAAAGAAAAAAAAAAAAAGAAAAGAAAAAGTTGTACATGAAGAGAAAGGAAATTCACTTGCACCCATATGAGAAATAATAGTATGGTAAGCATCTGAAATTCTTTTGAATCATCGACTGTTGAAACCCCTTGCACTTGGCAGGAGAATGAAACCTTTTACTATAATCTGTATTTTAGAAAAATTATCTTGTTTCTTTAAAAGACATTGCTAAGGAAATAGTTGACAATGTATGATTTCATAAGTGCTTGGGAGACTTCAAGATGAAACATGCTATATAAAAGAATGAGCTTTATTGTATCTGAAAAACGACATAAAGCTCATGTGTCCTTATTAAGGAGATATCAGTGACTAAACATCATAAACCACAAATTAGAAGTCCCTTCCTGGTGCAACATACATTACATACTTCCTACATTTTCAGTGGGCTCAGAAGTTCACCCGGAAGTCTTAATATGTTTGTGACTTTTTGTTTGTAACCTGTACAATCTTTTCTGAAAACATGACTAAAATGGGTTTAGCTAGGTGTTTAACTAAGATGGGTACCTTTTACAGACCAATTCAATTCTTAACTCAGTGTGAGTGGAAAGGTATTCACTGATAGAGGAAGAAGAGATCTAATGAATCTTAACATCACATACTTGCTGAGTAATCAAAATTTTTGTGGAACAGTCAAAAAAGACCCTTGTGTTTTACTATAACAACACAGCTGGGTAGTATTTCCTGGTGAATTCTAAATTTCAAGTACTTGTTTCTGAAATTTTAACTATTAAAAAAGGAGAGCAGAAAAGGATGATGAAGTAGAAGACGTTTGAAAAGATTGCCTTCAACACCCAAAAATGACTACTTGGATAACTAACATAGGAATTAGGAATCCTTACCTAAACTCTGAAACATATGTAACTTTGAAGTATCAAGTATGCATAATAATAATAATTTAGATAATTTAGAATATTTCAGTTGGGAGGGACCTACAATGATCATCTGACCCACTTCAGGTTTGACCACAGTTAAAGCATATTATTAAGGGCATTGTCCAAAAGCTTCTTAAACACTGACAGGCTTGCTGCATCAACCCGCTCTCTAGGAAGCCTGTTGCAGAGTTTGACACCCTCCCAGTAAAGAAATGCTTCCTAATGTCAAGCCTGAACCTCCCCATGTTGGTTTATCCACTCTTTAACTTCTTGAATAGTAAACAAAATCCCCCAGATTTCAGATTTTGCTCAGTGTAATCTGAATTGCAAAGAGAACTTTGAAATTGATACAATGTCTTCACATTACAGCCTTCAGTATTCTTATTATTCAAAATTCCAACAAAAATTGGACTTATTTGTAACAGATCAATGAATGAACTTTTATGTTTCATTTGTGTTGTGTTTTTTTGGGTTTTTTAAATGCAGTAAAATAGGGAGGGGAAATCCAGTTCACCATTTATACTTTACTGGAGTTTTGTTACCCTGTGTAATTCTGAGGAGATTAAGTACAAAAGATACATTAAAATGAGGCTCAAATAATTGTTCAGTTTATCAAAAGACAGGAAATATAATTTTATTCATATATAATTCATCTATACTGTGGCCAGTTTATCGGCTCAACTATGCAAATTGACTAATTGATCTTAGACACCTTCCTTCCCAACATGCAGTGTACAAGGTCAACCAAATGAAGTCATACTTCTGAGTGGATTTCATTTTTGTTAAGCAAAAGAAAAGCAAGTATGCAGTCATAAATTTTGTACTTCAGAGGTCTCTCTTTTTTTTTTTTTTTTTTTTTTTTTTTTTTTTTAATAGCTACAATGAAAACATGACATTTGCCTTTACCGAATATAAAAGAATTTAAAAAATCCTAG